AGGCGGGTCAGAAATTGGAGCCGGGGGAGCATGAAGCCTCTTTACAGGAGCTGCCTCTGTAGCCCCGCCCCCCGCTACCAAAACCCCGCCAGACACGAAACCACCACACTCTTCAACTACCTTGTTCTGCATCAATAGCAATATACGTTCCCTGGATGCTTTGGAATTTGGTGCCTCTTGAAGTGCGTACCCGTACTCAAGTTTAGTATTTGCCACGATATTAGGCAAAGATTACTCTGTTGGGCGCCAGGTCACCCAAAGCTAGCTTTATAAAAAAATCAAGAGACTCAAGGATAAGAGAAAACCTATTTTCAAGCATAAATTTATAATAATGGTGAGCATAAGAAGCATCATTATATTGTCTTAACAATAAAGATTCTCACTGCTATATCAGCATTTCAGTTAGCTCATATACTCCCTAAAATTAACAATTTTTTCTCTCTGGAGAAAAACATAAAATGGAGTGTCTTTATCTTGGATAGATGCTATTTGCATGGAGGGGAAAGAGAATGGCACAGAATGAGTTCTTAAAGTTATACAATCAAAATGGATCTGAGACTGAACTGCCATTGAAAAGGGACATCGGTTCTCCTCTCAGCAGTGTATTACTATGAATTTCCTTAAGGCAGCAACATTTCTTTCAGGGACAGTTTCAGTCAGTGGGCTCCTCAACTCCATAAACTCCACCATTTGTGACGAGAGAATGGGGACTGCAGCAGTCCACACCAACAACTGAAATGAAAGTGGTTTTTTGGAACAGCTTAGCCTTAAAAAAGCTTAGCCTTAAAACAGTTAGAAACCATGCCCAGAAACCTTTTATATTTTATCCCATGGCAGAATAACCTAATTTTGCCTAATTTTTTTTTTGTTTCCTGTGACTGAGATCAGGGAACCGATTTGGAAGTAAGTTTTAGCTTTCAAATGGATCAGTTCCCTGACTTCTTTGTGCTCGGCCCACAAATACTACTACAATAGAATAAACACTGACAAAAGAAATTTTTTTATGCCTAACAAGGCCTAAGAGTAATGGCAAGTCTAACCCTTGCAGGGCAATGTTGTCTTATGCCAGGTTACAGTGACAATGTAACCAAAACTTAACAAACCAGGAAAGCAGTGTAGTCTGCTCTGAAAAAAAGGCTGCCACAGCTAGTTCAGCTACCACTAGCAAAACCGCTCCCTTGTTTCTGTACCACACACATAACTCACGTGCAACTTATCTGATTATTCTCTAAGAAGCCTAAGGATGAAATGAATATTCTTTCTCCAGGTGGGCAATAAAAATACTAATTATTGTAGTGCCAAGAAGAGTATTTTGCTAGACTATAGCAGAAACTTACTTCACGTGTCCCCTTGAAGTTTTAAATGACCTGTCAGTTTGGTATCATTCTATAGACTATGTGACACTCTGAGTCCAAGCACATTGTTTTTTGATGTATATGACAGGATGAATTTGCTCTGATGCACTATGTCCCAATGTCCAAACGTTGCATTTTCCATGCCAAAAGCAGTGCACTGACCTGGTAGTCCAACATGAGGAGTAATGTGCACCGCACACTGACATCACCAGGTCTTTTCACCTGGAAGCCATCTGTTTCCTGGGTTGTGGGAGTTCTGTGCCACTGCCAAAGGAAAAAACAAGTAAGATGGTCGGTCTTTTTTTCACTGATGTCCATGGAGGTGCACCTTGCACAGTATGCTATGCAAGAATAAGACAAGTGCAAGCCTTCTGAAGATCTTGCAATCTCAAAATTTTTTTAAAAAAACCCAAACCAACAAACACAACAACCCCACCCAAACAATTTCTTGCTCTGCCCTTACAATTCAGCTTTAGTGCACAATCTGTTCTGCTGTTAGCATGCTTAACTTGTTAGGAAAAATGCATGCAATTTCTTTCATCATTTCATACATTCTGTTCTAAGATGTGCTCTTTATCAGTACCACATCTATGTCTGTAGACTACATAGATTCTGTTGGCAAACATTCTTAAAAAGAATGTAATTTTGAAAACTTTAAAAATACCTCAATGAGGTAACAAACAAAGTAGATAATGGGCACATAGCTGTTTATCCGTGCTAGTATCAGGTTTGTACGCAAAGGGCGCACAGCTTTCCTACCTCCACAAGATGGTTGTCAGGTCCATAAAGATCTTTGTCCAGTTCAATAACCAAACTCTTAAAAAAAGACGAAAACTTCCGTTTCTGTTTGCTGAGCTGTACATTCAGGAGAAACAGAAATGTTTAAGGCTGCATATTGTGTACTGTGCTTCCTTCTCAGGCTTTCTCTTTCTCTTGAACCTTAATTCCCATATAGACCACAAGCGTGATCAATCTAATTGAGTTTTCCCTCTGACAATGCAGGGTAAGATGCAAAAAAATCTCAACAGCGGTGGAACAGTGCACACTTCAGGGAAGATTTTCCTGTCTGTCTTAATGCAATTAGAAAGGACTGGCTTGTAACGTGAACATAGCCCCTGCGAGAAAGGGTCCAGAGGAAGCCATGAAATTGATCCGAGGGCTGGAACACCTCTACTGTGAGGACAGGCTGAGAGAGTTGGGGTTGCTCTGCCTGGAGAAGGCATGGCTCCAGGGAGACCCTCCAGCAGCCTTTTGGTACTTAAAGGAGTCTTATAAGAAAGATGGAGAGAGACTTTTTACCAGTGCCTGCAGTGACAGGACAAGGGGCAATGCTTTTAAACTGAAAGAGGGTAGGTTTAGATTAGATATAAGGAAGACTTTTTTTACAATGAGGGTGGTGAGGCACTGGAACAGGTTGTCCAGAGACATTGTGGATGCCCCATCCCTGGAAGCGTTCAAGGCCAGCTTGGATGGGGCTTTGAGCAACCTGCTCTAGTGGAAGGTGTCCCTGCCCATGGCAGGGGGGTTGGACTGGATGATCCTTGAAGGTCCCTTCCGATCCAAACTATTCTAAGGCCACTGTACACCTTTTATTTTAACAGCTTGGTTTTTCTAAGGAATGCTAATTTATTGGTCTGATTTATCAAATGACAGTAAATTCTACAGCTTAATCATGCACTAAGTAAAAGTATTTTCTTTTACATTTTGCCTTTCCACTTAATTATCACTATTTGCTGTTTACTACACAGTTCATACTGTCTAAATTAAAAACTGAGAGGTCTATAATCACATAATCTGACCTTCCACAGAATACAGTCCATAGTATTTCAATGAATTTCTTCTTATTTAATGCAGATTATCTTTTAGAAATACATCCTCCTTTGATTTAGAATTTGCCAGTAATTGAGAAGCTATTTTGTTCCAATAAAGAATCTTTCTTTGTTAAAAACTGAATTTGTCTAACTTCAATTTCCAGCAAGATAATGATTCTGATTCATGTACAGTTATCTCCAGACAGATAGATGTGTCTTGAAAGCCTTGCTCTCTCCATACATGCATGTTCTCCATCTGTCTACCCTATCAAATACTTAGCTTGTGAAGTCTATTCAAATAGGTGCCAGTTGTATTAGAAAAGTCCAGCCTTCCCTGAGGAAATCTAAACCCATCATTGAGGTTTCTGAGGGCTTCAGAATGACAAAACATTCCATCCACCCTTGCTCTGACCATCCATACATCCTTTTGTCCTCCCTAGGAATATAACCTTGCTTTTCCTTGTTCTCCTACTCTTCACAAGATGCAATGCCTACACCTCTCGTGACCTGAACCCTGACATATCTTTTAAGGGAATCATCTCAGCCCTGCTCTCTCCACCTCCTCCTACACCTGTCCTGTCCTTAAGTCTGCCCCATTTCCTGCTGCCATCCCCACCCCTCCCAAAAAATTCCCATTACGGCCTTATCCCTCAGGCCCGCTGGACGTGGCACCTCCCCAGCAGCCACAAGCCAATGCTGCCATTCAGAGATGTCTTGTCTGAGCTGATGTCCCCAGTAAAGTCCACCACCCCACAGGACAATCTCTAGATCCTTGCCAGCCCCAGTGAAGCACAGGTAAGTCATACGTCATCCAGGAGCTTCCCCTCCACTCGCAGCTCCCATGAAGCAATGCTGCCATCAGAGTCATCAGCGTCAGATTTTGCAGGATTAAATGTGTTGGAGATGTAAAGTCTCAGTTTCCGCTTTTGCTGTTATATGAATAGAGAAAAGAAAAGTACACATCCACTTTAAGTCCAAGACCTGAGGAAGCCACAGGAAAGGTGATAGTTATACATTTAGTACAGAATCTGCACGTTTAGTACAGTTGTATCAGGTTATACTAGAATTTAAGATCTGGTAACGTATATGTCTTCTGAGGATCGCCTGAGGGAACTGGGATCGTTTAGCCTAGTGAAGAGGAGGCTGAGAGGAGACCTTATTGCTCACTACAACTACCTAAAAGGAAGATGTAGTCAGGCTGGTGTTGGTCTCTTCTCCCAAGTAACTAATGACAGGACAAGAGGTAATGGCCTCCAGTTGAGCCAGGGGAGATTTAGATTGGATATTAGGAAAAATTTCTTTACTGAAAGAGTGGTTAGACATTGGAACAGGCTGCCCAGGGAGGTGGTGGAGTCACCATCCCTGGAGGTGTTCAAAAGACGTATAGATGTGGTGCTTAGGGACATGGTTTAGTGGACTTGGTATTCTTAGGATAACGGTTGGACCTGATGACCTTAAAGGTCTTTTCCAACCAAAATGATTCTATGAAATTATTCTGTTCTAAGAAAACACACTGAAGAGCTGAATCTGAAACTTCAAAAACTATTTGCTATACAAACATGCTAAGATTCACTGTGAGTGGAGAAAGCCAGGAGGTTGCAGGGCCAAGCCCATGAGGCTATACATCCTGTACTTCTGGATTAGACATTTGAGAAATCATAGGAACAAAAGCATGATATGATGCCCTTCCTGTTTAGATCCTAGCTAGATTGCTAAGACTCAGCTGCAAACCTCTTGCTACATAAATGTCTTCCATAGTTCCATCACTGCAGATTTGTAAATGGCAGTCACAAATACAGCCAATGCTGCAAATTACATGCCAGGCACATCTCTGCCCATCTTCATTCTACCATCATGCAGAGCCTGGTAATACATGTCTTCATACAGACACACACACATATACACACACCTACACATCCCTGCTGCCTAACCTTCCTCCTTAACTGCCTTTCACCCTAATCAAACATGTTGCAGCTCCAACTTGATATGAGATGTGAGCGGATGAAAGCACCGTGCTTCATCCCTAATCCAGGTGCTCAAGCCTGTGAGAGATACAGTCATGCCTACCTGTTGTCATTTTTACAAGCTATGTAAGGTTTCCCAATCACTGTACTGGCTTATGGCTATATTATTTCTCAGTGATCTCTCCCGTGCACCGTGTGGAAAACCTGGCCATTAAGTCTGATGCATGGATTCCAGAAAATGTATCACAAAAAATTTCTTTGGGACTCTAATCTCAAATATCTCTTTATAATATAATGACAAAAAGGCTATGGTTGTCAGGTCAATGAAGTCAAAACAACCTTCATACAACTTAAGAAAGGAGTAGTCTTGTAAAGCTTTCACACTCACACACATATATAGGAGAGAAGGAAGTTACATACATCAGGTCAGGAAATCAAAAATCTAAATGGCATTGAGAAATGTGGGAGGCAGAAGTGTATGGCTGTTGAGGAACAAGACAATGACTACATTTTGCCAAATCTAGAGAAGACAGTGGCAGAATGGTTTGATGGAAATGGAGTGCCAATGGTATGCTCTATCAGGAACAGGATTTCCAAAAGTGCCAAGAAGCCACAAAATGACAGGGTGACACACATAAGAACAGGCAGATAGGTAGAAAAACATTCCTGGAAATCCATATTCTTTCTCCATCCTTTCCTACAGGAAAGTGCTACAGCGCTCCTTCATTATATAATTTTTTTCTTTAATGCCCCAGAATCTTTATTTGGTGTGGAGGACTTGTGAAGGACTTCACATTTCTAAATCACAACTCCTCAAATTAACTTGCACATTTTATGCACTGTTTCTAAATCTTATCCCCACCTGGATTATTTGCAAAACTGTTATCTATATACATAAGCAGGTTTTTTCTTAATAGTTCCTCCTAGATACTCCACTGATATTTCAGGTTTATATCACCGATTCCATTTCCTCTTCTTTTGATTTCCAAGGACATTATCTCTGTTCTCCCTTTTACCCTGGAAACTCCTTCTCTCCCATATCTCCCCATATCCAGATAGGAACTGTGTCTGTTTCCTCTGAAGTCTGACATTTCATCACTAAGATCATCCTCTGCAATAACAGCCTTATTCAAATCTAGGTATTTTAGACGTCTTCCTGTCTTCTAGCTTCCAGGCTCTAGCTGCCTTGTACAGTACACCTAGAACCAAGTTAGTAACAATGCCTAACTCCACTGTGAAATACAAAATACGTCTCTTTCATAATTCCCAGTGTTTCCCTTTGCTAACCTCTTATCACTTTTCTTTCAAGTCATGCACAAGCCAGATGCAGCTTATATTTCAGAACCGGTCTCCTGATGGGTTCCCTATACTCTCCCTCCTCTGCCAAAATCAGAGTCTGCATATCATTTGTTTCTCCCACATCTCTCTTTTCAATTTAGTATTTTCTTCTCCACAATTAATTCGATTTCTCAAATTTAATCGTTTCCTCACTGTAACCCCTCTAAATTAGCCCTCTTCTTCCATACTGTCATCAGAAAGGAACTTAGAATAATTATGAACAAAAATCCTAAGCAATGGCTATCTCTAAAGTTATCTTTTGTCCTATTTCTATCTATCTTGATTTTAGACCGAAATGCATTTAGCCTTCAACTCCAACATATTACAGATACTACTGATAACTTGTAAGTACTGTGGAATGTTGAGCCTTTATTCTCTGCTAAGCAAAGACCTTCTATCCAACAAGTAAAGTGTGCAACCTGCACCCTGTGGGTTGTCTTCAGATTTTGCACCAAAAGGTACTGCAAATTTGCAACACTAATAAGGCAGTGATTATCTCCCAAATGCAACCACAGAAAGATCCTTGCTTCTGACTCATCAGGAAATCAGTCAAATAGCATAACTGCACAGCTACAAGAGGACCCCAACATCAAATGGGTTTCAAATCTAATAAAAATCTTCATTAGAACACAAAGCAGGATAAGGGAACATAAAGAAGGAAAACTCACATTTGCCAAGTAAAATGAAATAAATAATTTAAAAAAAAAAAGTTTTGTAAACCAAATTTTCTCTGCTCACATGTCCTTGAAAATGGTTCATTTCTTCAGGCTTGCTCTTATTCCAGCAATTCTGTGATTTCCAGGGTTGCAGAAAACTCTGTAGGGTCATTTCTGGGGAGACACAGAGAATCCTCTCTTTTTATTCCTTAAGATCCAACTGTGTTTGTACTATTGCCTTCTCTCAGGAAGTCCAAATTCTTGCTTTTTCTTCTGGCTTCTTACTCAATGAGGCAGTCCCTCATCCTACTTGCCTTACTGACGGCCCTACCCTGCACTCCAGCTGGCACTATCTCCCCTTCCTTCTGAGGGCTCTACCAGGCCAAGTGCACCTTAGGACATGTCAAACACTAGCCTTCCTTTCTACAGCTGAGCCACCACTCTTTAAAAGGAACCTACACGGTCAACTGCAAACAGGTGTCAGCCATCACGATTGTCATAACCAGTAACCCTAGATCTGACCTACAGAGTGCAGCCAGATCTGCCAAAGATGTTCTGGGAAGCAGTCTAAAAAAACTGTGAAAAAGGCATTTGGCCATGAGCACTCCTTGAACAGCCAAACATATCCTCCTCTGTACAGCACTGTACTAAATCAGAAAATTCAAGCCTCCACAACTACCTTTCTGAAGCTGCTATCAACATGTTCACCTCCTGTTTGTTCACTTATGAGTTGCTGGTCCATTTTTTCCTTCTTTCTGTCCTTCCCAGAACTCCCACTACCACCTCTTCCTCACACATGCCTAGTGTTGCCAGCACCACTGGCTCCTCATAAAAGCTACCTGGGAAAAGCTCTGCTCAGGACATTCTGGGAGGCTGACTATCTTATCTTTCAGTTCCAGGAACTAGACAATGGCGCTTGAACTTGCCCTACATATACTTATCACCAACAGTGGTAATACATACTCGGAGCAGTGGCATTTAACAAAAATACACTCAGGAATTCTCTGGCAAAACATCAGAACCATAGCCTTACAAATGAATATTTTCTTCAGACCAGCAGGCTCCTCCTCTACCACGACTTTTCTCCTGTTGGCTATGCGACACTACCATCTCATCTGATGAAGCAAGATCCTGACAGAGATCCAAGAGTATTGTCTGAATCCCTCCCAAAGGGATCCACCCAGTGAGTAACAACTTCAACACTCACAGCCATACTGCTATCACAAGGATGTCCAGCTTAAATACAGCAGTGCAATGTACTTGAGCAAGAAGCCATTGCCCTTCAACAAATTATGCATATTTCTTAGCAATGCTCATTATAGCACAGATCTAAAATCTATTCTCTCTCTGTATGGTGGCTTCTCAGAGAACAGAAAAGCAACCAACCAGAATCTGTGGCCTTTTTTAGTGGTAGGATTCTCAGTAGATTGGAGCAAAAACTAAAGAGAAAACTTACAGCTCTAGGGCAAGAAGAAAGCACCACATTTCATCCCTTCAGACACACTGAAACTTTATCACCCACAAAGACAAAGCTTAATGAGGGGAACTTCACGGAGACTTGATCAGCGCTGTAAATCAAATAATCTCTTGTCCAAAAATCAATAAATGCTTAATCTGCTTATTCTCTAAGTGTAAGATACACATCTTTAACATGCATCTTTGACTTGTCTTCAAGCAAAATGAACCTGAAATAGCAGTCACATTAAAAAGAAAAGCGTTCCCCAAAAATCACTCTATTTCACTCACAACTTCTCCTTAAGAAAAGGGAAAAAGCATATGTTACAGAAGACTAGTCACATCAGCGATGAACTACTGCAAAGGTCTCAGCTACGACAGCAGCACAAATGGTGGGAGAGCTCATGTGGAATGAAATGGATCTAAACAGGAGTCTGACAGGTATGCTGGAGCAGCAGAACTACAGCTTTTTCTCTCAGTTCTTCAATGTCATCTTCACACAAATCAATACAGCTT